TTAAAATCGTGCAACACGAAAAAAAAGGGAAAATCGTGTTGGTGAACACGAAATGCCATGAGACTGGGTTGGACAATCCCTTGCGCCACAGTGAGATAGACCAGCTAGAATCAGAAGAGTCTGATTCCGACACTACAATATAATCAATATAATCATGTGAATCGAGTACCCTCCTCTTCAACCCGGTATCACGGCAAGACGTGAACATGTGACGATTTACCATGCTGGGAGACGTGAAGATGTCACGATTTCGTCCCCTTCAAACGTGACAGCTACACGGTATTGTTAACCCATGTTAACCAGTGGAGAAATAACCGGAAATACCAAGCAAATGCTACCCCGACGTAATGATTTATTTTGTAATAGTCACACTCGATTACGGCGATTTTCTTGTTGCCCCAGCTGGTCGACACCTCTTTTAGCAGAAACAAAGGCTACATTAATGTATTAAATCGATGTTAATCTGTGCGTGTGGATGTGGAATTAACGGACGTGACGTTGTGCGATTGAGTTGCCAAGCAACAGCTTCGGTTCATGTTAATTTACAAACTATTCAACTACAACCGTAGTTATATTTAAAAACATGCTAGAAGGCCTCACGAAATACTTTAATGCACATTAAAATGTAAATGTGAAGGAATGTGTGTATAACAAAATACATCGGTCATTAAACGAAACCGGAAACAGACGTAGGCAAGATCCTCAGCTCGATGATTGGATGGTTATCCGCAATGCATGCTGGGATTTGGTGTTTATGTGATGTGAAATCTGAAAACGTTTTTTAAAAATACAATAATACTTTATTCCGAGTGTGCTTGCTTTTCTCTTTGAAAGTCATCACATAACGGCATTGTAATACACGGTTTCGGCTGCATTAAGTATGACATATCTGCCGTAATTCTCTATTTATAGAGCCGTGCTGAGAAGACTTCTGGACAAACAGGAGAACTGCCGCCAAAACTGAAGATGTGACGTGGATCATAAATATGTAAGCAATTAAACAACATCTTACATTTCTTTTCACACAATGCGTCTCCTTGCAGTATCAACACTAATTCGGCTGACTTTTATATTTGATCCAATTGGTAGATAGGCTGTATTTAAACCATAACCGTGCACAGCTGATAGAAAGGGACACCTGGTGGTCAAAGCACGTTATTGAATTGTATTATTTTATTATTAGATATGAATAGGAGGATGTGCAAAACAGACAAACTAATAAGGCTTAATTTAAACATTAAAGAGTACTTTAGGTTAAGGTCTTCTTTTGAATAATAAAAAAGCTTTAAGAAGAATATGGAGGGATGAAACCCTCTTGAAACCGCAGGTCCTTCCTTCCTGCAGCGGTCAGACTTTACAACCAGCACTGCCCCTAGTAGACCCTCCTATACACACCACAACATAGACTATAACACCCCTTGCTGCTAAATACAAACCAACTTTGTGCAATATGTGCTATATGTGCAATATATATATGCCATTAATAACTGTGTAATTTATACCTGGCCACTAAATCAATAGATATGCCGTTTTGTTTTTGATCTGTTTTTTTGAAAATGATGTAACTTTTTATCTTTTTTTTAGCATATTGTTTATTATATTATAACTTAGTACTTTTTTAGCATATTGTTTATTTTATTCTAACTTAGTACTTTTTTAACGCATGTAAGATATGCAACACTAAGCTGTCTGTGGCTCTTTCCTGCTGTAACGCTGCACATTTCCCCTCTGTGGAACTAATAAAGGTATTCTGATTCTGATTATTTAATGGTCACACATGCAGAGCACACAGCACACACAGTGACATTTGTATCTACAGATAAATATTAAGCCTGACAAAGTACTTAACGTCTAATATATTGCTTTCCTGCAATGTTAACTATGTTTAAGCACTTATTTGTTTATTATTTGTTTATTATTAAACTGATATTATACATATGTATTATACTCTTATAAGATGTATGTAGATAGTATAAGAAATGTGCAGATTGACAGTTTAATGGTGGAGTATACACACATAGTGATAGATGTCTTGTAATGCACTGTTGAGGAACCTGCGACCCAAGTTTTTCATTCATTGCATAACTACACAGTAGTTGTGTATAATATGATATGTCAATAAACCTTAGCTTAGAAAATCTTGAAAGGGATGTGCAAACTAGTCATTATATACAGTCTTTAATGAACTATTAGTAGAGAATAATGAGTAATAAATATACTTTATAGGGATCCTATTAATATCTAATAATAAAATAATAAAATTCAATAACGTGCTTTAACCACCAGATGTCCCTTTCTATCAGCTGTGCACCGTTATGGTGTAAATACAGCCTATCTACCAATTGGAGCAAATATAAAAGTCAGCCGAATTAGTGTTGATACTGCAAGGAGACGCATTGTGTGAAAATAAATGTAAGATGTTGTATAATTGCTTATATATGTATGATTCACGTCACATCTTCAGTTTTGGCGGCAGTTCTCCTGTTTGTCCAGAAGTCTTCTCAGCACGGCTCTATAAATAGAGAACTACGGCAGATATGTAATATTTAATGCAGCCGAACCGTGTATTACAATGCCGTTATGTGATGACTTTCAAAGAGAAAAGCAAGCACACTCGGAATAAAGTATTATTGTATTTTTAAAAAACGTTTTCAGATTTCACATCACATAAACACCAAATCCCAGCATGCATTGCGGATAACCATCCAATCATCGAGCTGAGGATCTTGCCTACGTCTGTTTCCGGTTTCGTTTAATGACCGATGTATTTTGTTATACACACATTCCTTCACATTTACATTTTAATGTGCATTAAAGTATTTCGTGAGGCCTTCTAACATGTTTTTAAATATAACTACGGTTGTAGTTGAATAGTTTGTAAATTAACATGAACCGAAGCTGTTGCTTGGCAACTCAATCGCACAACGTCACGTCCGTTAATTCCACATCCACACGCACGGATTAACATTGATTTAATACATTAATGTAGCCTTTGTTTCTGCTAAAAGAGGTGTCGACCAGCTGGGGCAACAAGAAAATCGCTGTAATCGAGTGTGACTATTAAAAAATAAATCATTACGTCGGGGTAGCATTTGCTTGGTATTTCTGGTTATTTCTCCACTGGTTAACATGGGTTAACAATACCGTGTAGCTGTCACGTTTGAAGGGGACGAAATCGTGACATCTTCACGTCTCCCAGCATGGTAAATCGTCACATGTTCACGTCTTGCCGTGATACCGGGTTGCTCCTCTTATGCTTACATTATATTGGAGTCTGTCCTCCACAAAAACAGCCAGTTTTCTATGATATATTTGTGATGTGTTTACTTAAACCAGCGATGGAGTGTATTCATTGATGTGTTATATCAGTCTATCCTGTCATTTGGGTTTTTTTATTGATCAAGTATGATCAAAAGGGGGGAATGTAGTGGACATTTTTAGTATATCCTTATATGTTTCCTGAGATGTGCTGTTTTCTTCTTTTACTCTACTGTGGGTTTATTCCCAAGCGCTTCAAGGCCACACAGCTGATTTGGCAGACTATGTGGAGGCTACTCCTCTTCACACAAAGTCTCACAAGAACTTCCCTATTCTGAGCTCAAGGACAGGTATCTAATAACAATGAGACCGTGTGAAGACAGATAGTCTGAGCTTCCCGCCCTTTATTGTATATAAGCTTTGCTTTCCTATTATATCTGCGCACACTCCTGCAGACTATCATATACTCTGTGAGACCTGTGTCTTTTTATTGTATCCTATGTATTTGAAGCTTCAAATAAATAACCAGAAAGACAACTCTGTCTGATTCCCCATTTATTTGTTTTGATCACTCTGACTTGTACTCTCCACAGTGTTGGGTCTCTAATTTCCATAACACTAGTTACTGCCAAAAATAACGGCGTTACAGCAACGCGTTACTTTATAACGCGTTAGTCCCAACACTGGATATTACTGACATGTTTTTATAGCTTATAAAAATGGGTTTTTGAAAAGCCTCACCCCTGATGTTACATAAATACAGTTTACTTACACTTTGCTGGATTTTTTAAGGTCAGTTAATATCACCCACAAGCAGAGGTCTGCTTGGTGAGGAATTAACACAATGGTTATGTCTACGGTGTTGAACTCTTTAGGTAGTCGGGATGGTCAATATCAAATCGTCAGGTTCCCACATCAGGCGAGCAGGTTTAGAGAGGGTAAGCATAACATCTATAGTCTTTCTTTCATTTAAAAACGTATTTCTCCAAATGTGTCTTCTCATATTTTTATTGAAATAAAATGGTAGTATTTTTTTATAGACACATTACATTGTTCAGGTCAACAAATGAATGCATCCATTACTTCTAGTTTAAGCATTTAAATCAGTGACATTCACATTTTAGATTTCTTAAGTGGACTAAATCTCTAAAGTAATTCAAACGATTTTTACGTACTTCTAAAACAAATATCAAATATATCTAATCACTGCTCCATATCAGGTAACCGGTTGCTTCTATTGTCCCAGTAATGGAAGAGGGGAAAGACAAGAGCTTCATCAGCTTGATTATTTTATTTGTGGATTTGAGCAAACATTAGTGGTATCTTGTGGTAATGTTATCAGAAATATATTATTTGTGTTATTGTGTATTCAACCATGAAACCTGTGCATACTGCAAGCTGCGAAGAAAACGCCAACAAACCTCCCCCATAAATAGGTCACAACAAGCACAGTGTTCTCAAATTAAGAACTCTAAGTTGCCCTCAAACAATATTTATAAAAAATGAAAGACCAAAATTAGACAAATTCTATAATCTAGTTTATAATTTGTCAACTCCTCCAAATGTTTCCAATTGTTCTGCCCTCTTCGAATTATTGGGTTATGTCTCTTGTGTAAACGCCAGGGTGATTGAGAACGGTAATAGTGCTCAGAAAACATCATGTTTGAGGAAGCATTTTATTCAGTAATTATGTCAATTAATATCTAAAGATTGATTGAGGTAAAATGAAAACAAACAGCACTAACGTTTTTGGAAAATTGCTTTAGAGGAACATTTTTTTTTAAATAGTTTTTTTTTTAAATTACACATTTGACATATCCATTAATACATATTATAAAACAAAGAAAAGCATTTAGATTTACCAGAGTGGAATTTTCGGAAGATACAGTGAAGAATCCAATACAAAGCTTTAAGGAAACATTATTGCAACTTTCTTGCAAAGTTATATTAATTTGTGTTTTTTGTAGCCAATCTCCTTAGGACGAAGTCCCACATAATCTTTAGGTGCCCATATGAGGCGCGTGACGTTTATGTCCCTCTTTTCCATTATAACCTGGTCCCAGCAGTACTCAGGGGAGAGTAACCTGCTTGGTTTGTTGATCCAGAAGTACTTGTTAAGATGACTCTCATCGTGCCACAAAGCCTCCACATTGTTCAGTTTGTCCTCCATGATATTTAAAAAGCAGTAATCTGTCAAATTCTTCACTTTTTCCAACAAGCCTCCAAAGACAGCAGCATGGTAGTAGTAATCTCCGGTTTCCATGAAGGCTTTGGATCTGGGGTTTCTGTCATAGGTGTATTGATAGTTTGGAGCGTTGTAATACCATGCGTGTAACAAAGCCACAGAATCCCCCAGAGCCTCTGAGCCAAATCTTCCTTTAAACTCCTGATCCACATCAAAGCAGAAGACATAGTTGCAGTGGTGATGAATCTCTGATTCTATGGCGTCTGATAGAGTTTTCATGCGCATCATAGAAATGTCCTGCCACCTGGAGTGCTTTTCCACCGGGATAACCTTCAATGTCCGGTTAGGAGCAAGCTCGATACTTGGTACTTTCTCTGGTAGATCCGTAAACACGTAATATGTCACCTTTAATCCCAACATAAAATGTTGTTCTGCAGAGGTAAGGAAGGTCTTCAGGTAGGCATCCAGGTACCTTGGGTAGGGATGGAGAGGAACACAACAAAAAATGTGTTGCTTAAAAGTATGTTATGATGAAAACACAGTAGTAACATATTTGATTTATTTATTTGAGAAATATATCATATGCGCACATTTGCTGACTTTACTGTCTGAACCCAAGCAAAGTAATCGGACTGAATCTCATTCGGTTATATGCAGAATGTATTCATTTGTTCATATGTACAAATAATTCATAGTATCAAAGCATTGGCAAAGTGCTACCAGTTTACGACTGAACTGCTAGTGGTGATGGACAAACAAACCTTCCCACAGCGAACACGGTGAGGGCCACAGACGTCTGGTTTTGGATGTGCTTCTGGTCGTAAAGATTGGGGTCAAACATCCCCTCCCAGATGATAGGAGCTTTCCAAGATGTACGTGTTTCAACCCCTTGTCTGGCCCTGAAATGGAAGACAAAAATACATATATTTTAAATGATCATTAGAGGAGATTTACATTGTTTCAAAGTCCAAAGTGCTAAAGGGAAATGTATAATTTAATAACATGATTCTTAAGTCGTTGTAATGTAGCTGATGCATTCCGAAGCCCAAAAGGCATCACATTGTATGAGTAGAGACCAGTTGGCATTTAAAGTATAAAAGTATTTATCTCGAATGCTCACTAGGACAGGAAACCTGCAAGTATCTTTTCAGATACATTTTGCCAATCTTACCTGATCCATGCAGTCATTTATCCTGGGAAGCAGAAAAGTTAGAGCTAAACTGGGATGTATTATCAGATTTTGGAACAAGCAAACATTATGAGAACCAGCTGGCAGAACAGGACTCTGCAATACCGCTTCCCAGCATTCACCTCCGCAACCAAGTACAAACATATCTCAGCATTCACACAATAGGAGCTTTAGCCTCTCCAACAAGTCGGCTAGGCGTCTTATGTCTTACGTTTTACTGTCATATGTTTATAGATCCCATCTTCCAATGATAAATCAACCATATTTGTTCCAGAAATAAGTCATTTTTATTCTAAGATTATTGAATAAGTAGATTCATGAAATGTGTTCTCCAATCTATAAGAAACTCAAACAAATGTTCTAGACACACAAACCAACTTGCCGACACATCAAAACAAAGATATTGAAATACATAGTTAAAATGTTCAAATGATAATCTTGTAAGCTTCAGAAACTTGGGCTACATTGTTTTAAATATGCCCTTTAGTATGCAGTCAAAACTAAAAGTGTAAGGTCTCTTACCCAAAGTGAAGAGTGTCATCTAAATTGATGATCTGTCTCAATTTTCCTTCTCTGTTTGCCGGCAGGTTGTCCACAGGAACAAAGTTTGCTAAATACCTAGTATAAAAAAATTACCATAGTGAGACAAAGGAGAAAATCATTTTGGAGCGTGTCTGCACAAAACACAAACAAATTTGGTTCAAATGTGCTCTAATAGGTATCCAAAAACAATAATGATGCTTTGGTACTCACCTCAAATATAACAGAATGCAGCTGCCAACAAGCACCAAACGACAAGAACATTTTATAGGATTCCTTGGCTTGAGCCCCCTAAAATGATGCAAAAGAACATAAACAAACGTAAAAAATATGTAATATAAGATTTGGTCATTAACATTAACCATTAAACAGGGTGTGATTTGAAAGGCTACTGATGCCCAAGCTTGACTGTTGGGTGAAGAACAAGTGAAATTATGTTGTGAGAGCAAATCAGGTCTTTGATTTAGTTAGATAATCTATAACTGAAATATATAACGTAAATGTATTTTATTTTAAAACCAAATTCTCCATGGAATAGTTATGGGCGGACTAAATGACCTTCTAATAGCTTCAGACAAAGGACTTGTCTCTATTCTTGTCTTGCTTAGTCTTAGTGCTGCATGTGATACTATCGACCATGACATCCTATTAGAAACACTAGAATATTTAATTGGCATAAAGGGAACCGCTTTAAGCTGGTTTAGGTCCTATCTATCTGAACGGTCTCAGTTTGTATGTGTCAACGATTAATCTTAGATTAGATTATAATCTTTAATGACCACACAGCCATGCTGGTGGAATTTGTGTTCAGTGCAGATTATTACAGCTTGTTCCATACAATTCAACATACAGTAAACAGACAATAAAAAGTACAACACACAGCACAGGGCAAATACATACATCATGACTTATACATAAAGTTCAAGGTGTGATTGATTATGATTGTTCATTGGGGTTATTTAGAGTCCATTTAGTGTCTGTATTGCAAAGGGGAAGAAGCTGTTTTTGAAGCGGGCGGTTTTGGTGGACAGTGACCTATAGCGCATCCTTGAGGGCAGAAGTTGGAAGACATGGTGAGCTGGGTGGGAGGGGTCAGAAATGATTTTATTTGCCCTTGTGACAGTTCGTTGGTGGTGGAGTGATTCGAGTGATGGAAAGGGACTGCAGGTGATTTTTGATGCTTTATTGACGATACGTTGAAGTTTATTCCGGGAGAGGTTGTCTGAACTGCTGTACCAGACTGTGATGGATGATGTGAGGATGCTTTGGATGATGGCTGCGTAGAACTGGATTAGGAGATGTTTCCTCACTCTGTATGTCTTGAGCTGCCGCAGAAAGAATAGCCTTTGGTTGGCTTTTTTGTAGATGTGGTCTGTGTTGGTCTTCCATTTGAGATTATTGCTTATGTGAGTGCCAAGACATTTGAGTGATTCTGTGGTGGAAATGAGTTTGCCGGAGATAGATAGAGGTGATTTGGGCTGTGGCTTTCGCCTGAAGTCGATGATTATTTCTTGGGTTTTTGCTGTGTTAAGTAGGAGGTTGTTTTCTGAGCACCAGGTGACTGCTTGATGGATCTGAGTGAGGTATTGTGAGTAGTTATACACATACCACTTCAATCTCATTAGTATGCATAGAAAGTGACAGGTCACACCTCTCCCTACTTATTAAGCCCCGCCCACTTCCGGCTAAGCCCCGCCCACTTCCACCGGAAGTCCCGCCCCTCCATAAGCCCAGCCCCTTCCGCCGGAAGTCCCGCCCCCACTTCCGGTTTTTCAAAATAAAATTACAAAATATTTTAAAAATGATAAAAATAAAAATGCTGCCCCTACCGGTCACCCCCACTTCCGGTTTTTCAAAAATAAAATTAAAAAATATTTTAAAAATGATAAAAATAAAAATGCTGCCCCTACCGGTCGCCCCCGCTTCCGGTTTTCAAAATAAAATAACATGAAATGTAACAACCATATATTTTTAAAAGTAATGTCTCAGCTCTAAAGAGCAAGGTCCCGCCACCTAACCACTTCCTGTGCCCCTGTATACAGCAGTATTGACTGTAACTTACAAATACTTGCAAATAACATGAAATATACAACCATATATTTTAAAAGTAATGTCTCAACTCTAAAGAGCAAGGCCCCGCCACCTAACCACTTCCTGTGCCCCTGTATACAGCAGTATTGACTGTAACTTACAAATACTTGCAAATAACATGAAATATACAACCATATATTTGTAAAAGTACTGTCAATCTCACTAACTCTCTCTCTCTCTCTCTGCTATTCTCTGCCGTGAAAAGTTTGATGAACAGTCAAGACAGGTGTGGGGACCATAAAACCCCCCGACATCCTCTGCGGGGCAAATGGTGTGTGTGTGTGTGTGTGTGTGTGTGTGTGTGTGTGTGTGTGTGTGTGTGTGTGTGTGTGTGTGTGTGTGTGTGTGTGTGTGTGTGTGTGTGTGTGTGTGAGAGGAGACGGTCTGAGGCTGCTAATTACAAAAGTCTCCGAATTCAGGACAGATGGTCAGAGCAAAACAGAGAAAGCAGTTACATTATTTTCTCATGTAACTATCTACATGTTTTTTTGTAATGTGTATGCGTATATATGTATATATATAAATATATATATATATATATATATATATATATATATATACACGCATACATATATACAGGAGAATAGCCTAAAATAAAAAGTATTTGCTCTACCATAAAAAACCAAATACAATATAATGCTAATTTGTTAAACAATCAGGAATAACCCCATTGGTTGTTTTTAGAATCATTTACATATAGCGGTCTATAAGTAACCCCGAAAACATCTAGGCAGCCTCTCTTCGCTTTTCCCCGTCAAGGCCCAGATATTTTGAAAATATATGGTAAGTACTTTTATTTTTTATGTTATAATAGCATATAGTTAGTTAATGCTGCTTGATGTGTGTGTGTGTGTGTGTGTGTGTGTGTGTGTGTGGTGTGTGTGTGTGTGTGTGTGTGTGTGTGTGTGCGTGTTAAATAACCTCTATGCATCTGTGTTTTTCTATTATGTAATTATTTAGAAGCTTTAATGAAGTATCGTTCTAAGTACAAATAATGTGGTGTACATTTTTTTACTATAAGTGTATTTAGCTATATTTCTTAAAAATTAAATATGTTCTTTCAGGTGTAAGTATCCAGAATAACGTACTCACTTGTTCTAAAAAGGTGGTGCACCCCCTCCGGCGGCCTGCATGGTCTCAGCTCAGCGCAGATCTGTTCAACAAGTCATCTCAACACAGACGGTGTTTTTGACAATTCAAACCTACCAGGTAAAAAATGCTTTTTTAGGTGTGCTTATACAAAAGATGATAGCTAAATGATTTTGTTTTGGAGTATTTTAAAAAACATGCTTATACCCTCTTCTTTTCTTTTCTTTTATAGAGCAATTGAAGGGGAGGACCCCGTTATCAAAAGGACAAACGCTGTTTGTTAAGGTCTGCTTTAAGGCCACACCATCTGAATAAGCTACACGTAGATCACATGTAAAACTGTTATTGATGTATCCGCCAGGTATGTTGACTTTACGTCCATGAATGTAGAAGCAAAGTGAAATGTTTCTTCAGCGGTGCCACTGATTTTTTTTGTTTTTATGTTTTGTTTTTTTTTGCGGGGGTGATTTCTTAAAAACGGTCAAGCATGGATGATTTAAAAGACGACGAAAAGTCCTTCATCGAGGGTTTACCTGATGTAAATGAACTATGCAGTGGTGAGGGCTTTGTGTACGAAGACATGTCATTTCCACAGTGGTCAGACAGTAACAGTGAGCTAAATGACACAATAACAGATGTACGCGAGCCTACGCCCTTGACAGAAACAAGCCCCTATACAGATGGAGAAAGGTCCTTTCTGCATGTATTACCGGATGTAAACGAATTGTGCAGTGATGATGATGATGATTCAGATATAGGGACCTGTCATTTCCGCAGTGTTCAGGCAAGCAACAGTGAGTTAAATGACGAGGGGTCAGCTGTAAACGAGCCCCGCGGCCTTGTCAGAAACAAATTCAAGCAGTCCAACAAAAACATTAGGCGGTGCCTTGGATTGGGTGATAGACTGCTATGCAGACCGAGGGCTTTTAGAGCAGCCTCTAGACAATGCCCGCCGTCTGGATGGACAAAATAGCGAAGCTTCGCCCCACGCCTGCCTCCCCGTTTCCAGCATGCAAGATGACGGGTGTGTTAATGACAGCTCGAATGACTCAGAATCACCCGCTTGCTCCATGCAAAGTAACAGACATGTTGATCAGAATGACAACCCCGAATGCTTCGGAATCACCGGCCCCCTGTCACAGTATGGAGGAGGAGGCACTAGCAGAGATGCCGAGCCAAGTGTTATCTCTCGACCTGTATTCGGTAACATAGAAATGAGACAGTCTCTAGTCCTACCGCCTATTGGGGGTGAAGCAGACTTTGGAGTCTATTTTCAGGGTCTGATGAACAATGTGCATAACATGCGTGCACATGCTTTTGCACGGGCAGAAAGAGAAGATATCATACAAATTGAGTTACGTGGTGAAGAACTAAGGGTTAATGTATCAGCCATTTTAAATGGTCCCGATGATAATCTGGATGATTTTGAGGAGGGGCTGTTCAAAGCCATGCAATCGAATATCATGGTAATGGCAGAAGGCAACATGGAGCTCGTGGTTCAAATTGTTCAGGCCCCCCGTGGGGGGGTTCAGGGTAAACGGATGATTAGTAAAATGTTAGACAGTGAGATTGTTAAAAAGAAGGCGCGTTTTCTTTACGTTGTTCAGAACTCCTCCAACCAGCTGTGTTTTGCTATTAATTTAGCACTGTTGTTACACGATAACCTCACTGATAATGAGGGGGTCAAGCGCGGTAAAGAGATCCAGAATATGGCGGGTTTGACAGCTCATACAGCTGTGACATTCAGCGACATTGATAAATTCGAAGACAGCTTAAACTGTAAGATAGTGGTTTTTTACCGAAACGGTGACGACCGAACCCTTTGTAAATTTCAGACAGACGCCCCCAAACGAGACAAAACTGTGTTTCTGTTCCTCCTACACAACCATTACTATGGTGTGAAGAACTTGAAGGGGTTTTTAGGCTCTCCGTATGTCTGTGAGCATTGCTATACAGGGTACAGTTCTCAATGGAGTCACTCCTGTACTGGGCATTGCTATGTCTGCCTTGACCCTGCATGCACCCTGGCAGAGTTTAAACCCATCTTTTGTAAAGACTGCAACAAAACATGCCGTACAGTCGGCTGTCATTCTCGACATAAAGAGCAGAAA